GAGAGGAAGCAAGAGAATCCCAAGCAGGCTCTGCACTGCCAGTGCACAACCTAACATGGGGCTCAATCCCATGAAAGAATGCCTAGAAACAACATGAAAACATATGAAAGTATAAAACTCATTGATAAAGTTAAATATACAGTCAAATTCAGGGCACTCTAATATTGTAATGGTGGTGCATAAATCGCTTTTTAATTTATTTTTTAAACATACATCCAAGTTAGGTTTTTTTTTGTTTTGTTTTGTTTTTTTTTTTTTTTTTTTTTTTTTTTTTTTTTTTTTAAGAGGGAGTGCATGAGCAGGAGAGAGAGAACCTTAAGCAAGCTCCACACTCAGCATGGAGCCTGGTGCCGGGCTCAATCTCACAACCCTGGGATCATGACCTGATTGGAAATCAAGAGTGGGATGCTCAACCTCCTGAGCCACACAGGTGCCCTTAAGTTTATTTTATTTATTTAAAAATTTGTTAATATTTATTTATTTTTGAGAGGGACAGAGTGTGAGCTGGGGAGGGGCAGAGAGAGAGGGAGACACAGAATCTGAAGCAGGCTCCAGGCTCTGAGCTATCAGCACAGAGCCTGATGTAGGGCTGGAACCCATGAACCATGAGATCATGACCTGAGCTGAAGTCCAACACTTAACTGACTGAGCCACCCAGGTGCCTTTAAGTTTTTATTTTAATCACCTGGTCCTCATCACAAGTACACTCCTTAATTCACATCACTTATTTCACCCATTCCCCCCATCCTCTGGAACCCATCAGTTTGTTCTCTAGAATTAAGAGATAGGATGACTTAGTGCACCTGGGTGGCTCATTTAGCTAGGCATCCAACTTCGGCTCAGGTCATGATCTCATGGTTTGTGAGTTTGAGCCCCACATTAGGCTCCACATTGACAGTGCAGAGCCTGTTTGGGAGTCAGTCTCTCTCTCTCTCTCTCTCTCTCTCTCTCTCTGCCCCTCCCCCACCCATGCTTTCTCTCGCTCTCAAAATAAACAAGCAAACTTAAAAAAAAAAGTAGGATAACTTATTTCTTGTCCTCTTAGATCCCTGATTTGCTCCATGCTGTTCTGCTATCCAAAACATTATCCTTAAAGGCCCTTCTTCTTTCAGCTGAAGCTGAAAGCTATTGAGCTTTTCTGTACCTCTTTTAGGGCTTGGGGATCTTGGTAAGATTGACAAGGTTCCTTGTTCCATGGACCTCACAATCTAATTAGGGTAGAGAGATGATAAACCTATGAAGAAAAATGTCAGGTAATATTAAATTTTCTGCAGGTAGAGAAAATAGGGTGGTTTAATGGTCACTAGGCAGTTACTTAGATTGAGTAGGTAGTCATGGAGGGCTTCTCTGAGTAAGCTGATGAATTTGATGGAACTGAATGGAATTATTCTCTGTAGGACTTTTTAAAAAGCAACTGTTCCCATGACAACTATCTATGGACTTAACAAATGTGCATGGTCATTTATAAGTATAGTAATGTGTGCTACTTTCCTAGGACAGTTGATCAACAGCATCTTTCACACCATTTCCAGCCAGTGTCAGCCCTAAAAAGTGATCCCTCAACACCACAGAATTTGGGAGCAAGCTACAAGCCACTTCTCTACTCTCTAGGACAGTCATCTGAGGTTCTCACCACACCCCATGCTGCCCCTGAGCTTTGGCCCTTCTGCCTAGAATTCTCCTTTCCTGAGCCTTTATATGCTTCTCTGTAGCATTCTTGGAGTGCTTACCTCATCAGGGTCTTATTAAATGCCTCCATGCTCCTGATGGCCTCTCCCATAGTCTCTGTTTTATGTTCTTTTCAGCACTCATTAGAATTTGAAATCATTTTGTACTATTTGTCTCTCCTGTTTAGAAGGTAAGATGCTTCAGGGCAGAGATGTGTTTTCTTTTGCTCAGCACTGTGTTCCCTGGGGGCCTATGTGAGCACCTGAAATACAGTTTGGGGACAATAAATGTTTGCTGAATGAACATCCACATGGAACAGGATTGTATTAGCGAACACTCTATAGATGAGAATCTTCAAAGCTCAACTGTAAGCATAGTTCTTCATTCACTTCAGTGCGTGGTTATGAGAGTGGGCTCTGGATCTAGATGTCCTGTACTCAAACCCCTACCCTCTTCTTACTTGTCAAGTAAGATCCCCAAGCACTTTTTCCAACTTTGAAGGGATGCTAATTGTATATACCTCAATGTCAGTGGAAAGATTAAATGAATTAATACCTATAAAATGCTTATAGTTATGCTTGGCATGTCTTGTTACTATTCCCTAGTATCCAGTGCAGTGTCTGGTACCCAGTAAGTAATTGCCAAACATAAATGGAATTTTATGGTACAGCAATTATTCCAGGCTTTCATTAGACATTGCGGTGGATTTCTTTAAAAAGCTTCCCGGGGCGCCTGGGTGGCGCAGTCGGTTAAGCGTCCGACTTCAGCCAGGTCATGATCTCGCGGTCCGTGAGTTCGAGCCCCGCATCAGGCTCTGGGCTGATGGCTCAGAGCCTGGAGCCTGTTTCCGATTCTGTGTCTCCCTCTCTCTCTGCCCCTCCCCCGTTCATGCTCTGTCTCTCTCTGTCCCAAAAATAAATAAAAAACGTTGAAAAAAAAATTAAAAAATAAAAAAATAAAAAGCTTCCCAGAGGGGCACCTGGCTGGCTCAGTTGATAGAACATGCAACTCTTGATATTGGGGTCTTGAGTTCACACCCCACATTAGGCGTGGAGCCTACTTTAAAAAAATTGTAAAAAGCCTCCTAGAGATTATAATCTAGTATGAGGGAAGTGGTGTGTAAACAAAAAGTTTAAAAAATATCCCAAGAATAGGATGACTATTGAAGAGACAAAATTATCTGCCACTTTGGAACCTGGCTCATAGTGATGATGGCATCTAGGATCTTTGGCATCCAGAAGTGGGGATGGGCTCAAGTTTGGCTGATGGAGGAAGCATTGAGCTGGCTTCTATGGAATGAGGAGGTGGTGAAACAGGGTAAAGGTAGAGGGTGTTTTTTCCAGGTGTGAGTTCATAGTGATGGAGAAGGCCTAGTTCTAGTTTCTGATTGACTAGCAAGTTGCTGATGTGTTTTGTCTCAGGAAGATCTCAGATTTTTAAACCTCGTTTGAAGGTAGGGCCATCAATAGGTATGTATACATGTAACTTACTCTAGAAATTCCCCCCAATAGAACCCATTTTCCTACAGGGGGATTGGGGATAACATGATCTCCAAAGGTAGTTGTGAGAGCATAACATCATCCAAGTAGTCAGGGAAGCTTTGGAAGTCAAGGAAACCATGATGTCACAGAAGGGCAATAGCATCTTGGGAGGAGGGAATGGAAGGGGCTTCTATTACCAGGGGAGCCAGCCCCGGCCCTTGTTGCTCCAACCTCAGTGACAAAGGAGGGACGTAAGTGTGGGTATCTTTGATGGTTGTGTATTTAGTCTTTTAGGGGGGAGATAAACAATAAGATTCCTTTTTCAAGCCTCTGCCCAGCCTCACTGGTCTCTTTCTTCTCCCTTTGGTCATCTTTAAGATTCTTGTCTAAACTTGCTTCAGCCCTTGACACCAAATCCGTTTATGTTCCACATACCAAGAGTCCAAGCTAAGAGACTAACTGGGGAAAATGCAAAGCGTGGAGCAGAAAGGCATCAGAATGCTAATCTGACCTCAGGATGCTGAGAGAAGTGAACCAGCTTTTGAGGGATCCTTTGTCCTTTAAGAGCCTAGGATGAATTCCTCTTACTTGAGGGAACTCAGAGCCTTCAAAGGATTTGAGTGTGCTTTCTAACCCAGGAGCCTGATGTTTTCCAAATGGCTATCACAATGCCTTTAGACAGGCAGAGCCCTTTCCTTACTCCCAGGAGATAATCTAGAAGGAAATATATGTGTGTATATGTGTGACACAGTGACAAAATTTCATTCAGGTACAAGTGACTGATATCAGAGCCCTTTGGAGAGTCTCTTCAGACAAGGGAGAAGGGTATCAAGGTAAACTTTCCTGAGTGTCAGTAGCCACAGGACTGAGAATGGGAAATTTGAGAACGTGTGAAAGCTGTAATACTTTTTGGAGCACCTCTGAAGATATAAATTCCCACCCATAGTTTGGAACACACACTTGTATTTTTATAACCTAATTTGTTCCAAAAATAACTATGTCTGATATCCAGAAGTGTGAAGGCTCAGAAGAAAAGGGAAGTAGGGAAGAGAAAGGATTTTTTATCCTCTTGATTTTGTGAGGAAAACAAAACAAGTCTTCCAAAAAAAAAAAAAAAAGATCTGCTTTTATAATTTTCTCAGCATCTTGCCAGTGTTCACTTACTGGGAGGAGGAGGCGGCGGCGGCGGCGGCGGAGGAGGAGGAGGAGGAGGAGGAGGATAACGACCTGGGGCTGTAGTGGAGAGAGCTGACACAATACACTCTTCTCATTAACTGGCGCTCACAGGGCAGCAATTCCCAATTTAAGGAAGGAGAATCTGCATCCTTACCCTTCCAACCGCTCCATACCCATCCGCCCCCCCCCCACTCCCCCGTGTCAGTGATTTAAAAAGCTCTTTCTTGTCCCTGCTGCTCTTCCAGGAAATTCTGAAGATAGCCTCAGACAACAGGAAACGGGACAGGAGGTGGGGGTGGAGGGGGGAAAACCGAGAGTTACATGGCACACATCAATTTCATGGGTCCTTGAGGGCTGTGCACAACCTCTGTATGAGACGGTAGTAATAGCAGAGATCATTATTGGCAGCATTGTCAATGACCGTGCCTCAATGTTGAACCCCATATCTCCGTGCCAGCCACTTGCATCATCGCATTCAATCCTCACAAGCCTCCCCCAAGTGAGGAATAAGGAGGAACCGAGGCTCAATTGAAGCACTGGTGGCTGGTGGGGTGCAAACCCATTCTGTCCCACCCACCCCGGAACCGTTCCCAGGTGGATTCAGGCCTGGGATTTTCGTGCCACATTCACTCCTGAAACGGTCATCTGTAGCACAGATGGTTCTATCTAGGGACGAATTACGGTCCACCCGGCACTGGGGAAGAACGGCCTCCGGGCAGCTCTCAGCGGAACTTTCCTGTCGGCGGCGCGTGTTCCCGTCCGGGCGGCCGGGCGCGCGGTCCAGGAGGGGGACACTTTGTGGCGCGGACCGCGAGAGGAGCCTGCGAGCGCCGCCGCCGGAGAAGACCGACTCTCGGCCCGAGCCAGCCCGCGGCGCCCGGGCCTGGCCGGCCGCTTCCCGCCTCAGCCGCCACCTCCGCCCCCGCCGCCGCAGACGCAGCCGAGCAGGAGAAGCGGGAAGCGCAGCCAGTTGGCCCTGCCCGGCCCGGCGCGGCCCGGAGCCGCGGCGCAGGAGGTGAGTGCCGGTGCTGGCCCCCGGCTCCGGGCTTGGGCCGCCGGGACGGCAACAATGGGGGCCGAGTGGGGACGCGGCCCGGGCCCGTGGCGCTCAGCGGCCTGGGGCAGCAAGCCCGTCCCAGCGGCCTGGGCCTTGGGGCGCTGGATCCCCACTGGGGAACTCCAGTGGCCGGAGCCTTGGCTGGGGGTTTGGCCTCGACCCGGGGCCTCTGTGGCTTGGTATTTAGTATCTTGGTAGCCAGGAAAGGGAGTCACAGGGGCTCGGAGACAACTCCAGTGGTGTGCGCTCTTGACGCTTAATGCGGACACCCTGGAAGCTAACCATAGTGGGGTGGATGGGGGGGGGGGGGGGCGTGCGTTTGGAATTCTAGGGCCCTCCGTGTGCCTGGTCCCTAAGGCACATCGGGATGTGTCTCCCCCCGCGCCCCTCCGTCCCACGTCTGTGAACTTGGCCGACTGGGGTCTGGCTGGGGAGTAGAGGCACTGGGAGTTTAGCTTCTCTGGGGTAACCAGTGATTGGTTCCTGGAACGGCTGGAAGCTCAGCTGGGCACAGAGGAGTTGAGCAAAGAGCTGGATTCTCCGGCCCAGACGTATCCTGGCGTTGAGGGGTTCTCAGGCAGGGAACTGAATGTCACCAGAGTGTCACGGTGAGTAGCGTTGCCTCCCTTGGTGTTAGGGTGAGCTGGAGTTGTGATTTGGAGAGTGTAGAGAAGTGTTGGTAGGCTGCCGAGTTTGGTAGGTTGCTTTATGTGGGCCACGGTGATGGCAGCCTGGGAGATGAACAGGAGAACTTTGCAGAGTGGGCTTTCTGATAGAGAATGACCTCTTACTGCGGGGGAGTGGGTGACTCAGATCTGTTAGAATTCCCGTGCTTGCTAGTGGATGTGGCTGACTATGTTAGTGACTGGACACCAAGGTGGATGGGGCTGGAAAGGGCTTTTGGGGGCTGAATGAGTTTGTTCCAGAGTAGAAGACTACTGTGGAATCATTCCTTTTCACTCCAAGTCAGAATGGTAGCTGTCCTTGACAGTATTTTAAGTAAAGAATTTCTTTGTGGTATTTGGATCCAAAGCTTTCTTCTGTACTTTTCTTTTTTTTTTTTTTCCTCCTGTTTTTGAATTGTGACTCATACTTTCATTTCAGGACTGTGGCTATTGTTTGTAATGCTAGACAAACTTAGACACCATAATATATGTAAATTCTAAGGGTTTTCAGTCCAATTCTTAGAAATCTAAATTAATTTCAGAGCCTGTTTTCACTAATTTGTGTGTCATTGTTTAATGTGTGCAACTCTACAGAGGGATGTGAAAACCCTAACAGTTTATGTTGTTAAATGTTCTTTGTATCCCTAATCCATGAAACTTCATTTTCTCCTGCTGCCATGAAGTCATTATGTTGAATCTGTTAAATCTTAGTGACTGCCATTTGAGCTTTTACAGAACATTATCTTCTTCACTAGAAGTGTTCTCCGTCTTCAGTGAATTTGGTCTGCACACTGTGTCTCATCTGTATTATTGAAGGCAGTGTGCAAACTCCAGCTCTGAGGCCTGCAGCTGTGCACCAGAGCTCTGTGTGTAGCATTCAGGCAAAGTTGGTGTGTTGTCTGTAGATGAGGTATCAAACTCTATACAACAAATGGCAGTATCAGACCATTGCACCCTCTGAGTTTATTTAGAGTGTTAAGAGGTACTACCCAGTTGGAGTCTATAAATTTTCAGTGAAATGTGAGGTAATTCTGACTATCTGTAGGTTGTACTAATAGTTCTGGTTTTCCCCCCTTAATCTTTAAAAAATCCTGTATGTCCCTTGATTTCTGTCCCTTTTAAATTTTTATATTTTAAATAGTTAACTCTTTCATAAACCAGTGTCTGTTGAATTATGACAGGTACTGTGTTGGGCATCTTTACAATGGTGATATTTTTGGCATTTTAATAGTAGTTCTTAGTTCAGAAGTGGCTATAGGTCTGTGAGAGAAGAAGTGGTTCAGGTATATTATGCTTTTAATTGGTAAAGCTGCTGAATGAAGTTTTTTATACAGTATTAATTTTGACTAGTGAAAATTGATTGTCTTCATATATTTTCGTGAAAAAGGTGAGCTATAATGTGTTCACATTAGTATGGGATTGTTTTTGCATTAATTTAAATACACCTGTTAATTTTGTAGACAAACCACAGGTAACATTTTGTTTCTGTGTGTGTTTGTGAATAGTGATTTATAAATACTGTATATGTGCTTGGGTTCCCCAGGAAGCCGTCACACTTTCTTTTCCACTGTGGTTTGGGAGCATGAAGGCGTTGCTTACCCCCTTTGTCTGGTTCACTGTATGTAGGCTGGGAGTGTCTGCTGATCACTTGGAGTGCTGTCCCCTAGAACAGGAGGAATAAGATTGAGGTAAGGCTCAGTCTATTTGAAATTGCTTGCCGCTTGGTTTTCACTGCATACAATATAATGTAAATTATATTTGAAAAAAAATTTTTGCCTTAATCGTTAATCTCCATTCTGATCTAGTAGAATGAAATTCTGTCCTTTGCTCTCTACTCTCTCTGTGTTTATATTTTGGCCAAAAATCCAAGGCACTCACATGATAAATTCTTTAAAATATCTTTCATTTTCTGTCTAGAATGTTCACGTGATCAAAGAAAAGAAAAAATGGTTTACATATGTTGTTTTGAAAAAAAATTTTTTATTATTACATTTTATTTATTTTTGATAGAGAGACAGAGCACAAGTGGGGGAGGGGCAGAGAGAGACGGAGACACAGAATCCAAAGCAGGCTCCAGGCTCTGAGCTGTCAGCACAGAGCCTGATGTCGGGCTCGAACTCATGGACCGTGAGATCATGACCTGAGTGGAAATCAGAAGCTTAACCGACTGAACCACCCAGGTGCCCCCACATATTTTTTTTTTTTTTTTTTAATTTTTAACGTTTATTCAGTTTTGAGAGACAGAGAGAAACAGAGCATGAGCGGGGAAGGGTCAGAGAGAGGGAGACACAGTCTCCGAAGGAGGCTCCAGGCTCTGAGCTGCCAGCACAGAGCCCCACGCGGCGCTCGAACTCACGAACTGTGAGATCATGACCTGAGCCGAAGTTGGACGCTCAACCAACTGAGCCACCCCGGCGCCCCAACATATGTTGTTTTAAAAGCAAAGTGATTGCTGAAAGAAGCGTTTTTGAATACCTCTTAGTCAAATGGATTGACTTCAGAAACTCTTGGAAAGAAGCCTTAGAGTTTTTGCTTTTTTTTTTTTTTTAATTTTTTTAACGTTTATTTATTTTTTGAGAGACAGAACTTGAGCAGGGAAGGGGCAGAGAGGGAGAGGGAGTTACAGAATCCAAAGCAGGCTCCAGGCTCTGAGCTGTCAGTACAGAGCCCAATGCGGGGCTCGAACCCACAAACTATGAGATCATGACCTGAGCCGAAGTCGGACACTTAACTGACTGAGCCACACAGGCGCCCTGTGATTTTGCTTTATGTAGGAAAATTCTGAGGTGTCTAGTACAATAGGAAGGGCATGGTCTTTGGAGTCATCCCACCTCTACTTCTTTCTTGCTTTTTGACCTGGGTAAGCTGTTAACCTTTCTTTATATATAACCTTATTTATTTATTTATTTTTTATTTATTTTATTTATTATAAAATATATATTATATATATATATTTTAATATATATATTTTATTTATTATAAATAACCTTATTTATTTTTTTCCTTCTGTAAAACGAGGATAGTATAACCTTCTCTGCAGATTGTATTGGGGACTGAAGATGAAGGCCTAGTACTTTGTAGGTAGTCAGTGCTTGCTGTTAGTAGTAGTGTCTTGCTCTTAGTAGTTGTTAGTGTAGTTAGAAGTAGTAATGGGGGTGCTATTTTCAGTAGTAGTAGTAGTAGGAGCATAGCCAGGTGCTGTGCATGGATGAGGGGCTCAGTTTCTTTGTCTGGTGAGGAAGGCAGCCTGCTGTCTGCACCTGTTTGTACTCTGGACAGGTGAGAGAATTGCCGAAGTAGTCTTTATCTAGTACTGGTGGGCAGGAGTCCACACTATAAAGTCCAAGGTCATTCCTGGCACTGGTAGGTTTTTTTCCTGGCAGTTTCTATGGAGAAGCCAGGAGGTAACTGTTCGGCATGTCCTTGTTTTGAGAACTGTAAGCATTCCCATTTACACTGCTAGAGTATGACAGGCAGCATCATGTTCTGTGTATCCCACGGTCAGGATGTTTCTCTAGCTTTCGTCTTATCAGAGACCTGGCTTTGGTCTTTTTGCTAGGAAGGCTCCAGATGCTAGAGAGATTTGTCATCTTTCTCTAATTTGGGGTATTTTGATAGAATATAGCACTCTGTTCAGAAAGTTTTTGATGAACAGAAGGTTGACAGCCTTTGTTACAGAATTGTTCAGTTTTATTTTTTCCCTATGGGAGGAAAAAAAGAAGTCAAGAGAAAAGTAAGAATAAGTATAAGTCAGATAGAAGTAATTAGAGGGGCGCCTGGGTGGCTCAGTCGGTTAAGCGGCCGACTTTGGCTCAGGTCATGATCTCGCGGTCCGCGAGTTCGAGCCCCGCGTCGGGCTCTGTGCTGACAGCTCAGAGCCTGGAGCCTATTTCAGATTCTGTGTCTCCCTCTCTCTGACCCTTCCCCATTCATGCTCTGTCTCTCTCTGTCTCAAAAATAAATAAACGTTAAAAAAAAAAATTAAAAAAAAAGAAGTAATTAGAAATAACCAGCCCTACAACTCTTCCAGTTTTCCTTAGTCAAATCCCTCCTCCATTGTGGCTGGTCTTTAACTTCTGTTAAAAGTAAATAATATTCCTTTAGCCTTAAAATACTGTGAACATCTAGATCCTAGTATGTCTCTATTTCAACATCTCACCTTTAGACTCAGCCACTCCTGTGTCTTCGTTCTAGTCCCTCTTCTGCCACAATTTCTCTGGCACTTGAAGCTGTAGTTACAGTGAACTCCTTGAACATCCCAGCATGCTGAAGCTATTCCTCTCCTAACTTTCTTTCCCATTCTAGTGATTTTCTGACTCTTAGTCTTGCATTTACCAGGAATTAAGGCACCACCATCTCTTAAAAGATTCTTTGATTCTTTCTGGATTAAGCTGAATGCCTCTCCTTTATCTGGCCATTGCAGTTCTGTCCAAGCTTCTTTCATAATTACTCTGTACACTGTACTCTTAACTTTTGGTATATTTGTGTGTTTTACAGGCTAGGTTGTAATCTGCGTGAGAGCAGGACCTTGTCTTATTTATCCTTATATCCTAATACCTAACCATCTCTGGCACTGAGTAGCTACTCAGTAAATCTTTGTGGAATGAACAAATGAATGACCTCTGCATATGAAGTGACAGGAAATCATTCCTTGTGGAGCTGGTGGTGTGATGAGCATTCTGATTTTAAGGCTGTGTCTGATCCTGGCTGAAACAGTGCTTCTGCCTTTGTACTTACAGGTTGTTAAAAGCAATACTTTATTTTGATTGAAAATGTGTTGCTTATTCCGTATGTTCATAGTTTTCAGGCTGGGGGCGCTATTACTTGCTTTCTGTGGGTCTGGCAAAAGTTTCATTTGGAAAAAATGGAAGTTTTTCATTGGTATTATCTAGATTTTCCTTTGGCCATTTACTGTTCTGAGTGCTTTGTCCTCATGCACGAAGAAGAGTGACTAGTCAGTTTGGGTCACAAGGTCTCCAGACAGCTAGTGGCCAGCCTGGGAGTGGGTAACGAATTTAACACCAGGATGTTATGACTTTTACCGGCTGATGGACCTTTTGGAATTGAGCTCAATGTCACCATTTTCAGGATACAAGATTAGTTGCTCAAACTTCATTCAGGAATTTGAACTCAGTGACTATGAAATTATCTGTACTAGTTCTTTGCTTAGCCTAATCCTGTACTAAAACTGGAACTGATGAATTAATTCTTTGTTAGGAGGCTATGTGTTCTGAGTTACTAACCTAGAAATTATGGAATTGTGCCAATTTCATAAGTCACCCTCTTGGTTCTTCTTTGTGGTAAGATAACTTGAGGGTGTACTATCTAAATTGATTTAAATTTTCATGGTTGATCAGATCACGTAAGAATCCCACTGAAGGCCAAGTGTGAGGAACCTTATTAAAGCCTGTATAATGTAGTCTTCTTTCATGCAGGTGACAAATATAACATACTGCAGAAAAGGAAAGCATGAAAAGTAGTTAAAGGTAAAAATTGATATGAGATAAGGAAAACTGAAACAAAGTATAAGGCACATTAAATGTGGCAAGCAACTGTTGAAGATATTCTGTGAGCAGTGTTGAGATTTTGAGAAGGAAATTGTTGTAATGTAGGTTAGAAGCAATAAAAACAAAAATCATTTCAGCCAGCATAGGCACATTGGCTTTACTAGCACCCACTTATGGTCTTAAAACATCATCAGTGAAAGTTATACATAGGCAGAAATGAAAATGTTTGCTTTATAAGTATACCTTGCACATGTATGGTATTACAGCTCATAACTTTCATATACATTTCCTTTACTTTACCTCCCAACAACCCTGTGAAGCAGGTAGCCCCATTTTACAGTTGAGGAAACAAACACAAAAGTGAAGTGGCTTGCTTTCAAGTGCACAAAGCCATTAAGAAGAAAAGCTTCTAGGTTTTCTGATCCTAAGTTTAGGACCCTTTTTATGTCCTTATAGGATATTGTTATGGCTTCAGTTTGGGGGAACAGTTACCCCTTATTCCAGGCTTCTGGCTAGGAAAGGATACCCACAAAGAATGTAGTGCCACGCAGGGATTAGAGCATCTGCTCTGTTAACAGTTGCCTGGAAACTCTGGAAGAGGCTGAATGGGGGAGGAACCTAGAGGGAGTGGAGCCCCACTGTCCTCACACATCACTTATTGGTCAAGGGAAAAACCCAGAATCAGGTGGAAATGTTTTTTGCAATATTTGACACTAGTAGTGGTCTTCCTCCTAACATAATGATATATAGGAATTGGACCCCAGAAAATGTGGGAAAGAATTCTTTAGGTGTGATTCTGACTTGAGCTCAGGCTCTCTGCCCTCATTGTGCCTTCCAGTTCCACTGTGTTCCCCACACCGTTTCTCCACCTTTCTCTTCCCCACTGTTTCACCCACCTCAGCTTGGATGCTGGTTTGCCATGGCCCACAGTTTCAGTGCTGCCTTCCCTGGGTCTGATAACCCTTTGCCTGCCTGACTTTGTATACTGTCTGTTCTGCCAGTTGTCATCCCTAAACTTTCACCTCTGGCTTCTTTTGTTAACCCTAGGTTGCTTAGTGTTTCTAGGGAATCAGGAAAATGGGATGTGTTGACTGACCGCAGTTCCCACTGCTTCAGTTGAGTTGAGCTCTGACCCTCGTGGTGCTCCTGTGCTGCCTTCTTAGGGTCCTATTCCCATAGCA